CAAACTCATTAAAAACCTTCACTCTTCTTAATTGATTGCCGCAAATTTATCAACTTTATATTTTATTTTAATATAACAAACGACCAAATTGTCACAGCAAAGGGGCCATAAATCAACGAAAAAAAGGCGAAACTGTCCACATAATGGCCAAAATCCAATAAACAATAAAGAACTGATTAAAGTGGAACCATTCGGTCGACCCGGAATATATGAAGCACAGATCGAAGTAATAATAATAAAAAAAACGACAAACTAGGATTGAAAAGCCACAAATGCATCACAAAACAAGGTAGCAACCGACTAGGAAACGCTGGACTTTATTGGGCTGTTTCGAAAAGAGGGCGATTTTCGTCGATTTAAAGGCTTTGGAAAAGTCATCATTGCGTTACCTAGAACCCACATCCAGTATTTTATACAGGGTTATCCATTTTATGCTTGAGAAATTAAAGTAAAAAAAACACACAAAATATTCAGATGGAGACGAAAAGTTTTATTCAATATAAATATTAAACCTTGCCATTATACGTGAAAAACAATATTATTTAAATGTCCTCCACGGGACCTTCTACAGGCCTCAATCATTTTGAGGTAATTTTGAATGACTTTTCGCCACATTACCCGTAATATCTCGGTCATAACTTCACGGATATTGGCTTTCAGTTGCTCAAGCGTTTGAGGATTGTTGGCTTAAACACGATCTTTCGCATAGCCCCGCAAAAAGAAATCTAACGGTGTTAAGTCCCAGGATCTTGCGGGCCAATTGACATCCCTCAATCTCGAAATTACGCGTCCAGAACATTTATCTGCAATAGTGCTCTAACTGCCAGTGTTGTGTGACTCGTTGCCTCATCCTGCTGGAACCACATGTCTTCCAGATCATAATCTTCAGTTTCTCTCCAAAAATAATCGGTTAACATGCGTCTATAGCGCTCAGAATTGAATGTTATTGCTCTTCCTTGATGGTTCTCAAAAAGATACGGGCCAATAACACCACCGGACCATAATGTACACCATACGGCCACTTTTTCAGGATGCAAAGGCCCTTTTGCGATCACCTGAGGATTTTGAGAGCCCCATATGCCTATGTTCTGCGTTGCCCATGGTCTTGAGGCTTAAGTTCGTGAGTCAGTTGGACTTTGTATGGATGGAGCTTCAAATCCAATTGCAAAATTCGCCACAATGAGCCGTAAGACAAGTCCAAATGTTGAATATCAGTACCCGATCCAGTCTCTTCAAATTTTTCACTGTGTTCGAAATTGTTTCCTCTATGGTTCGATTATATCGACCGTAATCCGCTCGTAAAGCCCTGAACGTAGATACAGCAGAATCACCATTTTTATAGTAACATTTAATAATTTTTTCGCGGTCTTCGACAGTTAAACGATCCATATTCCAAAATGGCAAACCTTCAACTAAAACAAAAACGCTTCGGATGACGTTTACCTTTGACAGATATCAAACAGCAAGGTTTAACTTTCCCAACCTCGAATTAGATAACCCGTTACGAATGTAAAAAACTTTTAAAAGTTCTAATCAAGGATTTTCATCCAGGATCAATTTTTGGGGGCGATTGTTTGAAAAACCTTAGTCTAGTTGGAAGTATAAGGTTTTGAGTATCTACTGGAAAGTTTGCAAATCTGCTCAAAATCTCAAAATCGCGCAAACCTGAATATTTTCCATGCCTGGAACCACTGGAAGCAAACATTCTCTGACAAAGATGTAAGTTCCAATCTTTACTTATATTAATACTTTTAAAGTATTGAAAAACCTGTCACAAGAGGTATAATTCCTATCAAAATAAACTTTCCTTCAACCTGCGCCGTCCAATGTATAAGTAATTCATTTTCTAAGTGGAAACGACCTCGAAACTCCTCAAATCTGCAAATTGTGCCTCAATACCAACAAGTTATCAGACGTCAAGACAGCAGAGGTCAGAAAGTCCCCGATTTGAAAATTCGAGTGTTTTGGCTTAAATTACACTTTCCGTTGAGGAAAAACCGCCAAAGCCGTCCAGAGGAACTTTAACTTTTCGCTTCAAATTAAAGAAACAATGTGAACATTTTTTTCTTCCGCATCAACCAATGAAAGAGTCCCTTTACTTATTTATTATTAATGGGAAAGTCCTCAAAACACCAAATTGACCCTTAAATGTCAAAAACGTTAAATCCTGATGACGCCTAGGAGCATAACAAATCACTATTGTAAAAAAAATATTTTTGTTTCAAATTGCACTTTTGTTTGAGAAAAAACGAGCAAACCGTCAAGGGAAAGTTTAATTTTGAGAAAATCTGCAGTTATTGCAATTTTGGGAAGTTTGCAGGACCGAATCGAATTAAACTTTGACTTTAGTATATTTTAGGTCTGGATAGTGACTCAGTTGATGACTTTTTTTACTTGTTCTCAGATTTATTATTATTTAAGGGCCATTTATTAATATTTTTAAAATTTCTTAAAAATTTCAGAATTTTCCAGTTTTCGCCAAGTTACTCTTCCTTCTAAATGCTTAATTTTCTAGGATTTCACTTAAAAATGCTGACAGTTTTAAAGTATTTTCCGCAAAACACTAAGAAATAAATTTCGAATCCTTCGTGGCTTTGAAAAAGGTTCGAAATCCCTTTCCAGCCTCAAGTTTGGGACAAGAATCAAATAATTTTCTATCGAAGAACGAACAGAATCAGTGCAAGTTTATAAAAACCCTTCACCTCTATTCCTCTGAAGAATTGTAAAAAAATTGTGATTTTTTTAGTTTTGACTGATTTTTTTTGCTTTATTTCCATTCAAAAACGCTCTATTTTGTAGAGTTGCACTTAAAAATACTGACGATCTGGAGGTCTTTTACGCGAAAAATTACAACAAAAAGTTATAGCTTTTTAAAAAAATGTTAAAAACTTTTTTCAGCGTCGAATTCGGGACAAAAACGAAAATAAATTTCTCTCGTTTTTTCCCGAAAATCATTAAGATTTTCTCAAGAACCGATCACAAAACTAAAAATTTTTAATAAAAAAAAAACATTATTTTCTTCTTTTCTGACAATAATGAAGTCTTTTCGGCCAAAAATGACAAAATTAATTTTGCTACAAAATTCTATTCTATTCTCAAGAATTTGCACCAAAACCAAATAAATTTATTCAGTTTTTTACCGAAAGTAATTCAGATTATCTTGAAAAAAGCCAAGGCAAAAGTTTCCAAAGAAATTACTTGGAAAATTCGCCACTCTCATATCGTTCTGAAAATTTTTCAAATTTCTTTAAAATGTTAGGTCTTTAAATTTTTATTGGATATATATTTTTTAACACTCAGCTTCTGAACAGCTTTGTAATTTTTTCTGGAACCTTTTGCGGCTTCGAGTTTTGAACAAAACCCTAATAATTTTTCCTGGATTTTTTCCTTAAAATATTTCACCGAACAGAGCAAGTGAAAGTTTATAGTCAATTATTCGGAAAACTCGCCACTTTTGTCGCTGTAAATAATTTGGTTTATTTAAATTCCGGTTTCTTCACTTTTAGGCCAATATTTCTAAACAGAACAACGCGCTTTTCCCTAACGTTTCACTGTAAAATACTGGCAAGCTGAGAGTCTTTTATGCAAAAAAGTTAAAAGATGGATTTTGCAAGAAAAGTCGTCGCTTTTACAGTTTGGTCTTCTGTATCGTCTTTTTCGAATACCCGTTTTACCCTTGAATTTGAGACAAAAGCGAAACAAGGTCATCTGGTTTTTTTCGACAACATTTAAGATTTCTCAAAAAACGACCGGAGAAAGCAAAAGCATTTAATCAATATTTGGAAAACGCGTCATCTTCATCGCTCTGAAATTTTTCTTCAAAATCTCCGGATTTTTCCGTTTTGGACCAAATAGTTTCAAGCAATCGTATGCACAAAAGCAATATGTTGATGGCTTTTTTTGTTAGATGCTAAAATTCCGCCACCGGCCATGAGTTATAACTCATTAACCAATGAGTTAAAACTCATTAACTCAGAGAGCGACAACAACTGAAAAACGCAAGTCAACACAGTGTTACCCAGGCCTAATGCAAACACACCTCTGAAGATGCACACCACTCGTGATTGCCAAACGCCTCGAAGAAATGATTTTCCTTGACGACAAAGCTCGAAAAACTCACTAGGTTCAACTGGAAGATTTCCAAAATCCCCAATTATTCCTGCAAATCATCAAACCACCCAATAGACATATAGAAGGCGCAATAAATCAGCCAAAAAAGCCAAAGCTGTCCACATAATGTCCAAAATCCAATAAACAATAAAGCATTGCTGCCAAATATAAAACAAAGGCCGAAATAATAATAATCGAAAAAAAATAAAAATGCCGCAAGAGTAGGTAGAAAACGACTGCGAAAATCTGGATTTTATTGGCCTGGTTTGAAAAAGGGGGCGATTTCGGAGCTTAGGCTAAACGAACGCTGTGTTACCTGAAAACCCATATTCAGGACGATTTGAAAACATTACCAGCAACTGTAAGACCAATTTAACCAAAGCAGTTCGTTGCACTGAAACTTGGCTCTTAAACAGACTATTGATCGTTGTTTTCTAACGCTTTTCCAAGAATTTTATTGCGAATGGGGCGCATTTGATTCACACAACTAAAGTTCGATGAAAAACATTCGCATTGATTGGCGATAAGAAGACGGTCGACTGGACTGATTTGGAAAGTTTCGCGAGCTTCAATTTTTCATCATCGATCTAATAGGTTATTTAGCCGACTCGGGGCGCGGTTTACTTAAACTTTCATCGAAGATTGATATGCAAAGCAGCCTTTCAGTAATTTCGCGCATTTTATATAAAACCCCCACATGCCGCAACAGGTACAGACAGGAAAGTTTACAACGAAAAAGATTCATATCATTTGACGCTGGAAAGCTTTTGCCGTATAGAGCAGGAAAATTCATCAACACGATAGCGAAATACTTTCCAGCGCTTTTATCTGGATGTTTCGGCACGAACACCGACATCTATTTGAATAATTCACGCATAGCAAAACTGCAATTTTCCCCGTAAGGACTTAGTGGCTGTTTAGAGCCCTTTATTCAACTAATAAACCACACTAGAAAACATTATATAATCAATTTCATAAACGATTTAAAGCTGGCCAAGCCAATTAATAAACGCAAAAAATCAGGCGCAAATACGAAGTATCACAGTCATTTTGTTGTTGTTTTTTAAATGTTTAAGTAATTCACTGTCTACATGTTGATGCCGAAATCAGCAAAATCCTGACCGAGCCAGCCAATGCTGAGGCTGTAATGCTGAAAGAGCTGGATCAACAGCTCATGTTCGTCCAGAAACTCGATTTTTTCAATTCGTGCAATTTCGTTTCGGTCAATCGCCCGATAGATCTGCACCATGTCCCAGGCTTTCGCCCCTATCCAGCCATTATTAATGAAAATATCTCGTTGAGTTTCCAGATTTTTGCAGTGGGAAATTCCCGCCATATTGCAGCCTCTGGCTCGTAGATTTCCCAGCATTATGTCCCCGAACGTATCATTCATGTTGCACATTTCGTAGTTGATAAAAAGCCCCGTGGAAAATGACGAGGAAAGCCACTGGAGCAGCCGATTGACGCAATCATTCTCCACATACACCAGCACGCATTCAGCAATAAACAATGTGGGCTTATCGAACTTTATTTCTGCCTGTCGCAGCTTCTCCTTCAGCTGCGGAATATTCCTCAGATCCACTCCCAAGCAGTGAAAGTTGCCCGAATGCAGATCAGTGGAACTGAACTTCACCTCGCCATCCTGCTCGTAAATCCGGTCCAAAAGGGGCTTGTTCCGCTTGATCACGTAGCACTTTTTTGATGTGACTGTGGGAAAGTCCAGTTCCACATAACAGGAGATCACAATACCCTCATCCTTCAGCCGCCAGTACAACGTATCAAAGCCGGCCCCAAAGTTGATTATTTGTGCGTTGCTGCCCGCTCTGCTGATGAACTTTTGGATAAAATTGTCCACTCCTTTCACGCGAGCGAAATATCCCCGATTTATTTCGGGGGCTCGTCGCTCGATATGCCTGACAAAATAGGATATGTAATTGTCGGTCCAATAGCCCAATTGCACTGCGCCCCTTTTGCACTCGCTCGCATCGTCGTTTGTAGCCATTACGGGCACATCACCCATTTTTCCTGCAAGTTAAACCAGAGTTTCTAGGTTAGGTGCTCTGGTTGGGGGGGCTCAATCCCGTCGAATCACTGATATAAGTGCTGTACTTACTAGCGTGTGCTTCGCGTTGGTGTAATTAACTCTACTGGGGGTCTATCCGTGGGATTTTGCCAATTTCTTCAGTTATTTTGGGGCTTGTATTGATATTCTCTTTGCCGGAGATGTCACTGTCAAAGCTGCCTTCTACTGCAAGTGTTCCCAACCGCACAACAGCCACTGCAGTCTAAACCTGCGCCGCTCGCCTTTAGAAGGTAGATTTTGAGAATTTTACTTGAGAAGGTGAATTTTACCGAGCAAAACCTCGTCGATAAAGTCTGACTAGACGGCAGTCAGCTCGAAATCAGCTTGCAAACCTTCCACGAACGTCTGTTGTTGGCAACACTGATGTGCGGCCAAGTGTGCGCCGATAGGCAACACACTAAGCAAGCGCTTAAATAGCCCCCCATAGGCGGCTCCTAACGGGGCGCTTCATTATCCAAAACGCAGAGACGGTTCATTTTTGGCGCTTTCTTTTTTCTTTCTTTCTTCAAACATCCACTTTCTTTCTTGGGATTTTCAATTATCTATTTACAGTAAAGGGAGAGTAACCCCTTAGCGGAATGCGCCGTAAGCTAAGAAAACGCGCGCCAATTTTTAAAATTTCTCAAATGGCCTAACATGCTCAAAACTCAAACCTCAATTAAGGCAAGGGTTCGGCTCTAACTCTGACTAGCTGAGTGTGCTTTGGGCATGTTAAAAGGCTGTTGACATAGAGAAACTTTCCTTTCTAGACAATCCTTATTGGGCTGAAAACTTCCACATTAACGCGGTGGAACTATTAAATAATTCGCACAAATCCCCGGCCTGTGGAGTTTTGCGCAAAGAAAAGGTCGGTTTGAATGAAATGATGAGCAAAGTTGAGGCAAACGCCTGTAAATGACTGTTAAAAATGCATTAAAACTCTTCGTGGATGTTATGCGGAGGCGAATTAATTTCGCCATTCAGTTTCAATGAGCAAGAGCGGCAATTTCCCTTTCGTCAGTCGGTTGTTAATTGTTTAGCTCTGGTTGCGATGTGGCTGTTGCGCGAAACAACAAGTGTATTATTAATAAAACACCGACGAATAGCTGGATTTTACTCTCGTTTCTAATTAGCTGATTAATCGTTCTAAGGCGGAAATTAATTGGAAAAAGGGTTTGTATGGTTGGCAACTTTCCCAAATTGCTTTTCCGCTCTATTTACTCGGCAAGTGCAGACGCTGAATATTGAGAATTTATGCTCAGGAGGCTTATTTTGTCAGCAAACTGGGCTCAAATTGGTTGTTAACACAATCTATTGATATTGGCCGGTAACGTCAAACTCTAACTTAGTTTAAGTGGAATTTATATGCATCGAGTAGAGGCGCTTTTAACCACTAACGCACCGGCGCAGTAACTCAGTTCCGTTGTTGGGAAAAAGTTGATGACTTTTTTTAGTTGTTTTTAGATTTATTTTAAGGGCCATTTATTAATAATAATTTTAAAATTTCTTTAAAATTTCTGAATTTTCCAGTTTAAGCCAAGTTACTCTTTCTTCTAAATGCTCAATTTTCTAGTTTCACTTAAAAATGCTTATAGTCTTAAAGTACTTTCCGCAAAAAATTATGAAATAAATTTCGAATCCTTCGTCGCTTTGTAAAAAGTTTTCAAACCCCTTTCCAGCTTCGAATTTAGAGCAAAAGTCAAATAATTTTCTAAAATAAAAAATCGAACAGAATAAGCGAAAGTTATTTACAGATTATTTGGAAATCTCGTCACCTCAATACCTCTAAAGACTGTAACAGTTCGTTAAAAAAATTTGGTTTTCTTAGTCTTGACTGAATTTTTTTGTGTTACTTTCTACTCAAAAACGCTCTATTTTGTAGAGTTTTCCTTAAAAATACTGACGATCTGGAGGTCTTTTACGCGAAAAATTACAAGATAAATTTAGAACTTTGCTATGATATTCCTATCTTTCCTGGGTTTCAGTCAAAGTGTGAAGTAAAAATTTTGAAACATCGTTTATTTCATTACGTTTCGGCGAGACAACAGCGCCATCATCAGATTGAACATTTTACACAAACTCATGATGAAAGACCTAAAAGGACGTTAATTTTTACCAATCAATATCAATATCATAACAAGTACACGCAGTCAGGAAAATAAATCAGAATTTAGAGCTTTGTAAACTTTTCCAAAATCTGTTTCAAGCGTCGAATTCGGGACAAAAACGAAAATAAATTCCTCCCGTTTTTTCCCAAAAACCATTGAGGTTTTCTCCAAAATCGATCACCAAACTAAAAGTTTTTAATCGAAAACGCAATAAAACGTTATTTTCGTATGATTTTCTTCTTTTCTGACATTAATGAAATCTTTTCAGCCAAAAATTTACAAAATTAATTTTGCTAGAAATTTCGCCTCATTGATCGGTTTGCAGGGAACTTTAGAAAACCCATTTCATCTTCGAATTTGGCACAAAATCCAAATAATTTCATTTATTTTTTTGAAAAAACGACCAGATTAAAAGTTTACAAAAAATTATTTGGAAAATTTGCCGCCCTCATCGCTCTGAAGACTTTTAAAGTTTTTTAAAATGTTTTATTAAGCAGTTCTTTCGACGCAAAAATCGCATTATTTTTTAGTTTTTAGCAACACGCGCCTCCTTAACCGTTTTGCAGAAATTTTTGGAAATCTTTTTACAGCTTCGATTTATGAACAAAACACTAATAATTAATTATGGGTCTTTTTCCAAAAATGTTTTCCGAACTGAAAAAGCGAAAGTTTGGAATCATAAATTTCTAAAACTCTTGGAAACGGGGGTTTCTTCACTTCTAGGTCAATATTTCTAAACAACACTGTCTCCAAACAGAAAAACGCTAAAATTTGACTGTAAAATACTGGCAAACTGATCCTTTTATGCAAAAAATTAAGAGATCGATTTTACAAGAAAACTCGTCGACTGTCTTTGGACTCAGTTCTGTTGCTGGGAAAATCTAGATTACTTTTTTTTAGTTGTTTGAACAATGTTAAAGAGTGGATGCGTAATAGAGAGGTTAATGTCGCGAAAAATCCTGCAATTTTTCTTTTTCAATAGACGTGGCAACATCTATTAAGCTATTCTTTTCTAACAAGTCGTAGCAAAACAATCTTCGTGTACTTTTGCGGGACAATTTAGCAAAATTTTGAAAACCTAATTGTAAAATAAATTCCAAACTTCTGAATGTCTGGGTATCCAAATAAAACTTTCTGGGTTTTCAAAGTCGACTGCTGCCTTTAAAACGGGACAAAAGTCGTTCTTGTGGTTTTAAGGGTGGAGGCCTAACAGACCTTTGAGTGTCCTCTTGCAGAACTCGCTGCCCTACAACGCCTTTATCGCGAATGGCGTTTAAAATCGTGCAATTATAGTTTCTTCATAGACGTGGCAACATTTATATGGCTATTGTGTCTTCAAGAAGTCGTTGTGAAATATTCCTAGTCTGATACCTTGTTTCGTAGAAACTTTTTTTCTGGAGAAAGTTGACAACCTTTTACAAGTTCCTATTAAAAAAACTCGCCAAAATTCGGATTTTTGGATTATCAAAATTAAAATTTCCGGATTTATGGAGTGAACTTTTGTCCTTAAAACTGAGCGAAAATTGCTGTTGTCGCTTTAAGGGTGACGGCGTAGCTTAACTTTGAAATTTCGGTTGCAGAATTCCTGCAAATTTCGGTTCCAGGAAAAATCCTGTAATTGTATTTTTTTAATAGACTTGGCAACATTAATAGAGCTGGTTTGCCTCTAACGAGTCTTTGCAAAAGTTTCTTCGGTTAACGATTTATTTCGTAGAACCTTTTTTCTGAAACAAGTTGGAAAATTTCTAAAAGTATTTAAAAAAATTGTCGAAAATTCTAACTGTCGGGTTTCCTAAATTGAGCTTTGCAGCCTCTATAGAATAGACTTTTTCAAAAGGATTGAAGCAAAACTTAATTTTGACGGTCGCCTTTGCAGAGTTTGCTGCCGTGCAACATCTACCGGGAATATTGCGAAAAATCCTGCAACATTGCCAGAACTAATTTGTTTCTATCAAGTCGTTGCAAAATATTCATCATTTGATGCTTTGTTTTGTAGAAACGTGTTTCCGCGAACGAGTTGGCAACATTTGAGGAATATTTAAAAATTTGTTTTTGTCGAGTTATTCAAATTAAGTTTTCTGGAGTTAGAGAGTGGACTCTTGCCTTTCACGTGGCGCACACGTGATTATTTAAAACTTTCCAAAAAAACTCGTCGACTTGCCATGAGTTATCACCAATGAGTTAAAACGCATTAACTCAGAGAACGGGAACAACTCAATAGCACAACCCAACACAGTGTTACCCAGGCCTACTGTCGAAGGTGCGTTTAGGCCTAAATGGTCCTTGAAAAAAAACCTAGTTATTGGCTAAAAACCCATAGAAGGTAATTTGTTATGTACTTTGGATGCGTTTTTTATGCAGCCCTTAAAGCAAAGAAAATGTTGCCTAAATTTCTCCAAAGACGTTGAAAATGGCCTTCAATCAAGCAGGGCAAACAATGCCCAAACAGTACAGTTTAGTAAACGCCCGAAGAATGAATGGTTTCAATGTAAATGGGGCTTCTATTAAAACCAGCGTTAACGAGCTAGAATCCAAATAATATTAAACTCATTATTTTTAACGATTCCCCCCAGCACAGTGATGACTATGCGGCTAAAAGCGCGCCAAAGGCTGATTTCCTGCCCTTTGTCAACATGTCAAATCCATTTTGGCCCTTATCCAGATCGGCTTTCAAATATATCTGCAATATTCACTGGCGTCAATCGGCCTCTATGTCCAGTGCATTTATTTCCAGATATTAGCCGAAACTTAACATCGACTAAACCCGGTAACCGAAAAAACACAGACTGTCAAAGCACGTAAGTGGGTTTGAGTGGGTGCAACCCACTGGTTGTCATGGATATCGGGCAGTCTCTCTCTGATATGCACTATATACGAGGGTATTGCCCTATTTGCCGCAAGGACATGCAATTTATAAAATTGCGAAAGAAAGTCGGTTATGTGGAATTTCTCTACTCTGGCGCCGTCTTTCCCAGAGAGATCCACAGATATATTCGCGTCCCGAAGGGAAATCTTGTCACCCTTGATTAAACTGGCACCGTTTCTAATTTATTTTTCCAAATTGAATATTCCCACACTCAGATTTGGGCGGCATTTCAAGCGGAATTTAATAATTATCTGCGAGGACATCGCAGGCTTTTGCATGTTTGCCAATAAAAGGCTAAAGGCAAAATTAACGGCAAGCAGTAAAGCTAAATACACAATAAAATTCAGTCAAGAGGTCTCATTTTTTTGGGCAGCCAATTTGGACGACTTTAT